AGTATCAAATGCAATGAGAAAGGCATCAAGCCAGAATTCATGACAGGTTGATCTAGAAGCAATTTTAAAGGAGTTTAGTTTCCCTCCTAAGTTCATTAGACTGATTATGCTAATTGTCACTATTGTCTCCTACAGGTACAAAGTGAATGAAGTTCATACTAGGATTCTCGAGGCTAAGAGAGGTCTCGGATAAGGGGATCCCCTCTCCCCCTTGTTGTTTGTGATTGTGATGGAGTACTTACACAGAGTGATGAAACAACTTGGAGATAACCACAACTTTAGTTTCTATTCCAAGTGTGAAAAACTCAAACTGAACAACTTGAGTTTTGTGGATGATTTACTCATCTTTGCAAGAGGTGATATATGGTCTATTCAGTTGGCTCTGTAATTCTTTAAGGAGTTCTATATGTCTACTGGTTTGGATGTTAATCCCAATAAATGCAAAATTTTCTATGGAAATGTGCCTCATGTTGAACAACAGATAATACAGGCTCCTTCTACTTTTCCTATGGTACTTTGCCTTTTAGATACTTAGGCATCCTTCTCACTAGAAAAAAATTATCTAGTAATCATTGCATGATCCTTGTTGACAAAATTGTGGTTAGAATTAGGCATTAGTCTGCTAGATTACTCAATTTTACAGGAAGGCTTCAACTTATAAAAAGTGTTTTGTTTTCTATTGTGAACTATTGGATGTAATGCATCCTCATTTCCAAGAAAGTGATAAAAGCAGTTGAAACCGTGTGTAGATCTTTTCTTTGGTATGGATTTGAGATTTTTTTTCTCGAAAATCTCCTATATCGTGGCAGCAGGTGTGTTACCCTAAAAAATAGGGTGGTTCAAATATCATCTCTCTTCATGATTGAAATGAGGCCAATCTTCTGAAGTTGTTATGGAATCTGGATGGAAAGGCAGACAGCCTTTGGGTGAGGTGGATTCACTGTTACTATACGAAGGGTAGAGATATTCTGAATGTGCCTGTCATGAACTCTTGCTCCTGGATCCTTAAAGCCATCTTGAAACAAATAGAAGGTATCAGTCAAAACATGATGTGGAAATCAATGCTTCAATAGGGAAGATTCATCACACAGGTGATGTACAAAGATATCAATATGCATCTGCAGGAATTTCAGTGGAGAAAACTTTTTTATGCAAAGACAATCAAGCCAATAGCTCTTTTTACCCTGTGGATGGCTTGCCACGACAGGCTTGCAACAAAAGAAAGGATGCATCTATTTGGGCTAATTGGAAACAACAATTGTATTTTTTGCAGCTAAGTGGAGACTCTACATCATCTATGTTTTATCTGTCATGAGATTAAATCAATTTGGTCACATGTATTGACTTGGCTTCAGATCACACATGCTACTGGTGGATGGACCGAAGAATTGAGTTGGATCATTGGGGAAACTAAAGGAAAAGGTGCTAAAGTGGAAATTCTAAAATGTCTGTTTGTTGAAACTCTCTATGAAGTCTGGAAGTTGAGAAATGCTTATTACTTTGATAAACCCCACAAAAGCAAAGACAACCCATAAATTATTGATATCATTGTCTATAGATGTTGGTTGAAGCCTAGACTTAGACATAGATCCAGTAACTTGATGATGCCTTAATTGGCTTGTTGTTTGTTCTTGCTTGTCTTGGTGGCTGGATCCTTTGATCGTTGTTTTTGGATTTCAATAAAAGTTTATTTTCTTCAACAACAAAAAATAATGATAATTATATCCACAAACTTTTGCACTTTTACTCAATATTAGAAGTTGTATTTGTTGATAAATGTTTATATAGATAGGTTTTTACCTATAAAATACATGTAATTACGCGTAAAAAAAACGGATGAAACTACTTAAAAATTAACATCAAATTTCAATAATTACAAACGATGATGATAAATAAAAACTAGATTTGCTTGCTTTTCTTTTAGAGCAAGAAACAAGAGATGATAAAGAAAAAACAAAAACCAACATGAAGTTGATGTAATAAGCCTTTATTTTATTTTTTTGTGTAAGTAAGGAATATATTAAACGGGGAACTAAGGGATCTCCAACCTTTTACACAAAGATGCGGGCTAGAAACACCGCCAAAAACCAGAAAAATTACAAACTAATTACAAACTACAATAGGAATAGAAATGGATCCTTGATAAAATCGTAGAAACTACAATTGGAGTGCGTAATCTTACCACAAAAAGACCACTTCCAAACCAAAGATTTAATACTCCAAACCAAAGATTTAATACTCCAACCCGTATTATTCATATTCCAATCCTCATTCCGAAAATATATACCATTTCTAATCAACCATATACACCACACTGTTGCTAACCATATAACTCCTACTTTGCCTAACTTCACCATTTTTTTCTCTACAAAAGAAGTACCAATTCATAAAATATGAATAACACTCCACTAACTCCTCCTCCCTTTTAGCCACCCAAGTGGCTATCTCCAACCAAATAGATTTGATCATATCACACTTGAAGAAAGAATGGTCCCTATTTTCCACATGGATGCCACAAAAACAACAAAATAAAGAATCCAAAGGAAAAGAAATACCTCTAACTACTAATTGGTCCTTTGTAGGAAGCCTATTAAGGAGGAGTCTTCACCCTAATGGCTTGATTTTAAAAGGGACTTCCATGTTCCAAATCAAGCTAAAAACACTGTCATACTTATTTAATGGGCCATAAGGAATCCTCTTACTAGCATAACATTTGTAACAAGTAGAAATGGTAAACCGTTCTTCCGAATTGAGGCCCCAAGTCACTTCATTTTCTCCTTCCGATAAATTACCATATGCTTCTAACTTCCCTTTCAAAAGAATCACTTTGGTCGTCAAAGACAAGAAATCTGCCCCTCCCTCGATTAAACTCAATCCCCCCATTTCAACTCTCCATCTATCCAACCTCTCATACCCTCCACCTCCACTTCCTTCAATAAAGTAGCCAAGAAAATGTCCAAAAAAGTCTCCTTCAAAGAAATGTCTTTTAACCACTTTGCTTCCTAAAAAGGAGTTTTGAAATCATTCCGAATATTAAACTTACAATTAGAAATAATGGGATCCTCAAAAGAAAATTTGCTAATTTTAAGAATATCCTTCCACCATGATGAACAAGAGGAATAATTATTAGTAGAAACGCCACCACATAAAGCCTTTATCGACACATCACCGTATCGGGCTCTCAACACCTTGAACCATAATACGTTATGGCCTTGTAAAATTCTCCACCACCATTTGTTAAGGGATAAATTGAAATCCGCCAAATTTTTTATGCCTAATCCCCCATTCTCCAAATGTAATGTAACCTTACTCCAACTAACCCAGTGTATCTTCCTCTTCTCCTCCACTCCCCCTCAAAGAAAGTTACTTTGAATACAAGTGAATATTTTAACAACCTTCACTGACATCTTATAAAAGGACATTGTGAATATAGATAAAGAACATAAAATGGATTTCAAAAGAGTAATTCTTCCACCAAAATTAAGAAAATGGTTCTTCCACCCTCCTAAGCGTTTTTTTAACTTGTTTAAGAGAGGAGTCCAAGTAGAAGGCTTCCTAGGATTGGACCCAATAGGAATACCAAGAAAGACAAAGTTACTTTCTTCCACCTTGCAAGATAACACATAAGAAGCGGCTTCCAAGAAATTATTACTAGAATTAATTCCGATTAACTTACTCTTATGATAATTAATCCCAAGACCCGAGGCAATTTCAAAAGCCCTTAACACCGTCTTAATCGCCCTAACTTTCGTCCAAGATCCCTCCCCAATCAATAAAGTATCATTCGCAAATTGAAGGATGTCAACAAAACAATTTCCATTAATGCGAAAATTATCATTCTTCCCTATTTTGATTGACTTCCTCACCAACTCCGTTAAGCCTTTCGCTGCCAAGACGAAAAGAAAAGGACAAAGCGAATTTGCTTGCCTCAAACCCCTTTCGACACCGAATTCCTTAGTAGGACTATGATTGACTAGCACCGACATCTTACTTTGAAAGACCAATAACTCCATCCACTTCCTCCACTTCGACCCGAACCCCATCCTTCTCAACATATAACGGAGATAATTCCAACTCACTTTGTCATACGCTTTCTCAAAATCCACCTTAAAGAGAAGAAAATTTCTCCCTTCCTTCCTAGCAAAATCAACAACTTTGTTAGCCACTAAAACACCATCAAACAATTGTCTTCCTGGAACAAAAGCACTTTGACAAGGAGAAATAATTGCTTCCAAAACTCTTTTCAACCTCCCCGCCAACAACTTAGCAATTGATTTATATAAACAACCCACTAAACAAATCGGCTTATAATCGTCCAAACCTATAGGATTCAGCGACTTAGGAACCAAAGTCAAGAAAGAAGAATTAACCCCTTTAGAAACCACATCCCCATCATAGAAATAGTTAAAGAACCGAACAAAATCCTCTTTCAAAAAAGACCAACACTTTTTAATAAAGAGAAAATAGTAACCATCCGGACCTGGACTCTTAGCCCCTCTATAACACCAAATAGCCTCCTTTACCTCCTCCTCTTGAAAAGGTCTTTCAAGAAAAATTCTATCCGCCACACTAATACTATTGAAACAAATACCGTCCAACAAAGGCCTTTCCTCTTCCGTTTCTAAAAATTTGTGTTCAAAATAATTAGTTACCTCTTCCTTTATTTCATTAACCGACTCCAACAAACTACCCGAAGAGGCCAACGGGCCTAAATGATTGTGTCTTCTTCTCTCCTTCATCACCTTATGGAAAAAGCCACTATTGGAGTCTCCTTCTTTAAGCCACTTTAATTTAGATTTTTGAACAAGCATGTTTTCTTTAATACTCAGATTTGTCCAAAATCTACTTGACATTTCCTTCCTCTTTATAATAATATTCGGGTGCATCGCCTCAATTTCATTCTCCAACCCATCATCCCCCAAATTTATGTCTCTCACCCCTTCCTCCACTTCTAAGTCAAATCTACCGAACACTATCTTATTCCACCATTTAAGTCTATTTTAAAGTAATTTAAGCTTCTCTTTAAGCACAAAATCTCCCTTACCTTCCACATTTAAATCTTTCCACTCCTTCTTAACAAAAGGAATAAACGAATCAAAGGAGAACCATTCATTATTAAACTTGAAAGGTTTTGGCCCCCAATTAACATCGTCCTTAACTAACCATATAGGACAATGGTCCGAGATATCTCTATCACCAATCAGTTGACCTACCACTCCCCACCTATTAACAATGTTATCCGCCACCAGAAACCGATCAATCCGACTCATAGACTTACCGTCTCCACTATACCAAGTGAATTTCTTCCCTTTACAAGGAATATCCACCAACGAAATTTCCCCAATAAATTCCTCAAAAGATTTCATGTCACCCCTACTTTCAACCGCTCCCCTTCCCTTCCTCTCACTATTAATTTTGATAATATTGAAATCCCCTCCAATGATCCACTCCACGTCTCTATAAGAATCATTCAACTCCAACAATCTAGCCCGCATACAAATTTTTTTTCTCACATCATACGAGTAGAAGTTAACCACATAATACAAGTTACCCTTCCACACAATTTTGACCCCTAAGAACCCTTCTCCTTTGAAGCTATTAAGCACCTCCATATCACCAATTCTCCAAAGAGTTACAAGATTGCCCGACATGCCCCTCGAGTTAGTGAAAGAAAAACCAACTTCTGTGTTACTCCAAAAACTCCTAGCAATATAATCTTGTAGATTAGAAATCTTCGTCTCTTGAATCAAGAAAATCTCCACATTACCCTTTTTAATCAAAGAACTAATTTTACGCCTTTTAAGAGTGTTTCCTCCCCCTCTAATGTTGAACGAATCAATGATCATTTTGAAACTTTTATTAACTCCTTCCTCCCCACCTTTGTCTTGATATCGTTTCTCTCCAATTCCTCTATCCTACCAACATTTAAACTCCTACCATCTGAATTCACCACCCCCTAAAGCCACAATCGCCTACCAAAGTTTTTTCCCTGTTTCTCTATCCAAAAACTCTCATTGTCTCCTGTTATTCCTACCAATATCCACTTCCTCCGATTGAATACCATAGAAAGGCCCAAAACTATCACTACATTTCCCTGCTTCCCGTGAATGAAAAGGAAGTATAGAATTTCTAGAAGCTAGGGCCTGCAAAAGTTTTTGGGAAACTGCTCCTCTTTTGGAATTAAGAGTAATTGAATTCTTCCTCTTCACCCTTATAATCGATTTCAGAACGCCTCTAGAAAGGGGACCACCCATCTCTGTCATCAATTTATGTTTCACTGAATTACTCCTAATTTTCTTGTTCAAAATTGGCACTGAACAGCCAACCTTAGAAACTGAATCCCTGTAGCACGCTTCATCCCTATCCTCGATAACCTTTGAGACTCCCTTGACATTACAGACCGCCTCATCAAACGAAACAAGCCCTCTCAACACAGCTCCTGAATTTTCATTCTATAACTCCTCTTTCCCACTGGCACCTTCCTGCCCACTAATTTTGGACCCCAAACCAGCAGACTCGACTTGAGGCGAAAACTCCTCTATACTATCTATCATTTCATTTCTTTCAGAAGCATCATGCTCCTCAAAATAATCAGACGACCAACCATCTTCAGAATTCGAAGATCCTGAGCCAGTAATTTGAGAAAAAGAGTTACTTGTAACAACCCGAAACAATCCTGTGAAATCTTCCTTAAGCGTTAAGTCAAAGCACTTGCCGTCAATCTCCACATTGATGCACTCCACAAGTTTGAACGCCAGTGGAACTTTCAATTGAATTCGAGCCACTTCTAAATTAGAACCAGGAGCTGTGATCTCATCTATACAAACAAAGACACTAAGAGAATTGGCCAACTTCACAAAGAAATCGGCATGCCAACCATGAGCTGGAATACCATACACCTGAATCCACATCAATCTCGTGTCGTCTAACTCACCCTCACTCCACTTCCTTATCACCGAGAACCAACTTTTCCACCAATTATCCTCCTCCTTGAACAAAGCATCAAACACTATGTCCTCCTTTTCTTGTAATAAACATAGATTCACACCCAACGGAATAACATTGATTCCAAACATACCTTTCATCTCGAAGAAAGTCTGAATGTTATACGTAGATCCCAGAATGGTCGACTTCCTAATGAATGCTTTTTCTAGTCTTTTCCTGTCCTCCTCCTTCGAAACGAAAGAAAAACTCAACTTCACCTTACTGATATGCTTCTGTGAATTATTAACTAACACATCAGCGAATGTTCTACGCCCCCAACGAGTATGAGTGCTTTCATGACCTCTAAAGCCCACATATTGCCATAAATTCTTCTCCTTACTCAGAGCTCCAACCCTGCCTTCACGCGAATCAGCAATAAAGCTTGTCCTCTCAAATCTAGGCACGTTGACATGAATCTTCTTACCCATGATATGAACATTATTCAAACGAACGGCCATCATTCTAGCATCATCTACTTCAATTAACCTAGCAAAACCAAATTGTTTACCCATTTTGTTTCTTCTAGGTGAAAAAGCTACTTCCACTACCTTCCCGATATAACCCAGCAAATCGAACAGCTCCCTAGCCTTGGTGCCTTCAGGGAATTCTGAAAAGTAGAAAGAGGTGACTTCATCGTTCTTAAAACCTCAGCTTTTGCCTCCTTTCTGGAAAATGTCCCACCTTGGTACCTATTGTTTGAATTTTCTACGCCTCTGCTCCTCCCAGTCGTCCTCGTGGTGAGGTTGACTGCTGTGCATGCCTCTAATTTCCCCACATCCCCTTTTAGAGAGAAGGTGGAGGGTTTCTCGCTCTAGATTATAGTGTATTTGAGATATTTAATAATCCTTTAGTAACATCAGTTTCACCATTGAGTTTTGAAAAAGAATGTTCTATGATCACACTCATGTAGTTAAGCAAAACTGCTTTCTGCGAGTGGTACTGCGTGGTACCACAGGAGACGTAAGTTTCTTACACTCGTTAACTCCAACTTTTTTGAACTCTTGGACAAGAGAAGGCACGCATCCAGCTAAACCAGATATAAAATGAGCTGAGGATTGTTTTCCTTCACTTCCATTAACATCTTGAACCCCACCTTTGACCAAACAACCAACTTGAACACCATTCATGTATGCTTTACATGATGCCAGAATATCATGTGCTCGGCTGTAGAAATGCCCTACAACTAAGTCTTCGAAATTCTAAAAACCAAAAATGACTTAAATCAGTTGCTTGAACCCCAAGAAAAGAAAATAAACGTATCTGCTACAAGTAAACGCTAGAGATATACAAGAAATGAACCAAGAGTAGAACCAAACCTTTGGAGGCTTTCTTATCGTATACATCATTGTCCTCAATGATAGAATGAATCTTTTTTCGTTATACTGCCAGGTCTGCTTTTCACCATTTATCATGTCTTTCAAACATTCATATCCAGGTTCATTGAAGTAAGGCCGTATGTTCAAGATTAGCCCTTGTATAGAGACTAGAACTTGTAGAATTGTTGAAACACCTTTAGTCCATTTCTCTTTCCTGCTGCCACTGCCAGGCCAGGTGTTAAGTATACTGAGACATACTTTGCTACAGTTATACAAATTCGGGTTGATCCGAAGACCTCCAGAGTGGTAATGGACTTTCTGCCACGAGAAAAAAAAAAGACGTTTTTATCAGAATTGAACTAAAAAGAGTGATAAAAAAAATTAATGTGAGTCAGTTATAGTGTCCAAAACCGCATACTGGGGGTACATTTGGATAGCCACTGGGAAAGAAAATATCAAAAAAGAAAAGACCGTCATGGTAAGGAGTCCTCTCTGCTCCAATAATCACAACCCTCATGAGATTCATCCTTGATTCATAGACTCTTACAAATATTGTATCTGATGAGCAATAAAGAAAACGTCGAACAAATGGTCAGATTGAGCGATATGCCATAGAAAATATTACAGGTTATTTAGTATTTGGAATACCAAACTCACCCGGCAAATGCTTCTCCAAAATCTTCCACTCTTCCTGGATTTTTTTAGCCCAACTCTTTGGATTCTGCTCATGAAATAGGTAAATATGCAAATCCATATAATTAAGAATAAGACTGTAACAAAGTCTTTAAAAAAAATAAAAAAGAGAAGCTAATCTGCTTTGTGGAGGAATTATGATTAATATAGTGATGATCCGAAGTGTCAATGACAGAGTCAAACAGCTTAAAACTTCGAAGTTTCCTCAGAGATTCATTTTCAGTTTCATCAATTATTGTCAATTGTGGGAGAACAACAGTTGCTCCATTATGTACATCACTTGCAGATTTGAGAGCACTAGTGGAACCATGCACATTCTTATGAGTGGCAACGAAACTATAATAACTCTTCGACCAAAGTTTTCCTGATTCTACTCCAGAAGGATGCAATGATCCATTCTCTCCAACAAGATCTGAATGGAACGAACTGCTACTTCCAGCTCCCAGCTTAGCACTTTCAAATTTCCCTGAATATGGCAGCTTCATCGCATCTGGATTGTCAGCCAAACCATGCTTCTTTGAACCAAAAAATACAGACTTCACTTTGCTGCAGACAGATTTCATAAACCGACGAGACTTATCACCATAACCCTCATGAAGGGCTTCGGATGCCTTCCCCTTGTTATGCTTACGAGTTATTTCATCAAGTATCATCAAATAATCATCTTCATTCTCATTGTCGTCGACAATGTCAATCACATCATGGATAATGGACTACAAAAAAAAACATACAATGATTAATTGTGCGTAAAGAAAAAGAAAACTTTCAGAAACAAATTCAGTAGCTGTATATACCAGAATGCATAAACAATTAATACAAAGAGGGTTATACCCCCCTTTTACCATAAGAACATAAAACAGCAAAACCAGTATTGAGTATATTAAACAAAGAACCAAAAAGTTATAAATGTTGCAATCAGAACATTGGGGCTAAACAGATTCTAGTTCTAACAAAGAACACATGATCGTAACAATATGAACTATCAAAAGTTATCTAGAGTGAAAAGTGAAAACCCAGATAATGAATTTAAATAAAGATGAAAACTTGGAATAGATACAATAAAAGAAAAGCTAAAGAAACAAACCCTGATAAGGGTTTGAGAATAGATAGACAGAAACCTGTTTCTGTTTTTTGAACCTGGGAAGGCGTTGGAACATTGAAGGAGGAATTTGGACAACTTCAGGGCCCATGGATTGAAACCCAACCTCAGTATTTGTAAATCGATCGCTCACCGTTATCTTATCCCTAAATTCAATCTCTTAGAAGATCCTTCTTCCAAAGAAAATCACACTAGTCTATCCTCAGTAGCTTTGACCATTAGAGTTTCGACGGGCTCAGAAAAATGTGTTTCTTTAACTTGTAGAGGATCAGAGTCCACCTACATCGACGCCATGGGTTTCTCCCCGAACTGCAGCTTGCCTTCTTTAAGTGTCTTCTGAATCAAATCCTTGAAAAGCAAACATTGATAAGTTTTATGACCTAAGAAACTGTGGTGCTAAGCATCTCTTTTCCTTTGCTCTAACAGGGGATTTTTTAGGCCTGGAGGTACTATAACATGCATGTTGGTGACTAACGGATCAAAAATCTCATCATATTTTGTTATATCAAATGTATATGTCTTGGTAACAAACTTCTCATTTTTACTAGGTTCGAAATGATTTTTCCCGTTTGAAGGTTTTAATAACTTACAAACGTTTTGAGGCACTGGCTTTAATTCATCCACGTGGATCTCACTTTCTTCGACGTGCTCATCGACTATGTCAGACTCCAAATAATCGTCTGGTTCTACATAGGCGACCTTTTATTTTTTTGCTATACTCAGTCGATCTGACTTTCTCACCCTTTAACTGTTCGACATGGCGAACCCTATCTGCTAATTGGGTCATATCCCTTAAATATTGAGTGTTCAAGTAATCATCAATTGACTCAGATATTTTGCGCCTAACGTTGCCCAGTTCCTTGAGACTAATTTTTTACTAGCCCGTGTAAAATTGCTCATGGAACACTCTTTAGTTGACTCCAATTGCATATAGAGTGTGGAGGAAGTGTTGTAAACCATGTGAAGGCATTTTTAGTTAGAGAGTTTAGAAAATATCTTATTCTAAAATTTTCATTATTCGCTATGTCGTCTGCCTCAGTAAGATACCAGGCCACATGTTTTACAGTTGATTCACTAGTGTCGCCTGCAAACTTGGTAAACTTGTGGATTTTCCAGTCTTTGGAAAGTTCAGTCTGTAGTACGTATTTCGACAAGGCGAACACAAAATTTGGCTTATGGAGGCCTACATTAAAGCCATTTGAGCAAGAATAATTTTGACCATATGAGTCAGATTAGTTTGCCTTCCAAAATTATTTTGATGAACATCCCTGTATACTTCGTCTGCATTTTGGTTTCAGTTGACCAAACTTATTTCTAGGTTGTTTTGCCCTACATTACCTTTGACTTCTACATGTGCAACAGGTACTACTGATTGGGGTGTCTCCCCTTGAAGACCTTGATTCATGGGAACTCTTCTATTGTTTGACACTCCTACATTTTGGAGAAGCCTAACATTCTAAACCTGAGGAAACTGCTGATTAGGCACTTGCAGGGTACTAAAGAAATCTGTAATTTGTCTCATTTGTTTTGCCAACATTTGGTAACTTTAGTTAGTATTCTGAATCAAGGGGTTGAACATTGTACCAATCTGCTAAGTAAGTAAGTTAATCATTTCATGATTAATCTCGTCCATCTGTTATCTTACAAACATGAGAGATGTTGTATTCAAAGATGGTGTAGTTTGAGGAACATAATTGACCCCTGTTTGAGGTCATGTCGTCCGACTAGTGTTGCTTAATGTGATCCCAACACCACTTGAGGGCTATAAAGCGAAAAGGCAATCACCGTATCAACTGCGTATGTCAACGCATTTGTTTGTAGGCTTGCCATCATTGTCGTTGGTATGCCATAAGGATAATCACAAGATTTGAAGTCACTTAACCACATCAAAGAGAATAATTTTTTATGCCATAAGGATAATCACAAGATTTGAAGTCAGTTAACCACAATGGCAATAAAACTAATCGAATCATGAATAATTTTTTTTAAATATTAAGTTTTTAGAAACTCATATCAAAGAGAATTAGTTTCTACCTTCACAATTTTTACACACAACAAAGAACTAAGCAAAATTCGCTAAAGAATGAAAAGACGAAGGGGTTGCCACCAGGATTTACATTGGTTTACTTGCACCTTCCTAGCTAACAAGCCTAATCCAGTCTTATTTCATCATGCATCAGAGTTTCTTTAATCATGATTTATGTACACAAGATTACAAGTCATAAATTCCTTCAGCAAAGTGATTTAGCCCCAAATCCTAGTAGCCTTCAATCTTTCTTATTGACAGTCAAAAGCCCCAAATTCTAAAACTCTTCCATATTCACCCAAATATTCTCAAGTGTCCTTAATTCTCTGGACAATCCAAACTAATAGCTTTCCTAATCTTGAGTTGAGCCTTTGATTGTGGCATGGAAAACTTGAACATAAAATACCCCTAAATCAACACATTATAGGTGAAAATATTTTCTAAATCTTTTACCTTTACCGATGTAGGTTATGAATCTTCATTCTTTCTTTCATAACCTACATTGGTAAAGGTAAAAGATTTAGAAAAAAGAATGTTATATGATCACATCTGTTATTAAACTTGTCATTCCGGCCATTACGTTACATATGGGTGACTCGACTAGAACAAACACCATAGAATTGGATTCAGAACGATGTCACGTCAAAGCGGACGCTCTGGCCACGTCAGTCGTAAATGATAATTTCCTTAAATTTTTAAGGTATAACAAAGTTATTATATTGAATTTATCACCATTGTTTTGCTCAAAACTTCTATCTTTTCTTTCTAAATAAGAATACTTCATAAATTTTGATTAATTTATTTTAAATTTTTTGACAATTACTATGTGTTTATTAATATTAACTATATTAATATCCACGTCACTTAAATATCGGCCATTCTAATTCTCGCTCCAGTTCTGTTCCATTTTTAGAGATGGTTGTGCCGTGCCGCTATTCGAGATTGATAACATAGATGATCACACTATGTAGTTAAGCGAAATTACTTTCTGCCAATGGTACGGTATGGTACCAGTAGAGACGCGAATTTCTTACAGTCAACTCCAATATTTTCGAACTCTTTGACAAGAGAAGGCACGCATCCAGCTAAACCAGATATAAAATGAGCTGAGGATTGATTTCCTTTACTCCCATTAACATCTTGAACTCCACCTTTGACCAAACAACCAACTTGAACACCTTCCATGTATGCTTTACATGATGCCAGAATATCATGTACTCGGCTGTAGAAATGTCCAGCGACTAAGTCTTCGAAATTCTGAAAACCAAAAATGACTTGAATCAGTTTCTTGAACCCCAAGAAAAGAAAATAAATCAATTAAGTGTTCAGAAAATAATATTATGACATAACACTGCGTTGAAATCTAATCATGCGTCTCTGAAAAACTTTTTATATCGAGGAAAAAAACAAACTTGAGTGCTACAAGTGAACGAGGTGGTAAAGCAAATGCGATAGAGATATACGAAGAAATGAACCAAACCTTTGGAGGTTTTTTTATCGTATACACCATTGTCTGCAATGACTTAATGAATGTATCTTCATTATACTGCAGGGAATGCATTTCACCGTTTGGTGTGCCCCTCATATCTTCCAATCCAGGTTCATTGAAGAAAGGCGTTGTGTTCAAGATTAGCCCTTGTATGGAGACTAGAACTTGTAGCATTGTTGAAACACCTTTAGTCCATTTCTCTTTCCTGCTGCCAGGCCAGGTGTTGAGTAGACTGAGACATACTTTGCCACAGTGATACAAATTCGGGTTTATCTGAAGACCACCAGAGTGGTAATGGACTTTCTGCCACGAGAAAAAAAAAGACTTTTTTGTCGGAATTGAACTAAAAAAGTGATAAAGAAAATAATGTGAGTCAATTATAGTGTCCTCAACCGTGTACCGGGGGTACATTAGGATAGCCACTGGGAAAGAAAATATCAAAAAAGAAAAGACCGTCGTGGTAAGGAGTCCCCTCTGCTCCAATAATCACAGCCCTCATGAGATCCATCCTTGATTCGTAGACTCTCACAAATATTGTATCTATGAGCAATAAAGAAAAAGTCGAACAAATGGTCAGATTGAGCAATATGCCATAGAAAATATTACAGTCTATTTAGTATTTGGAATACTAAACTCACCTGGCAAATGCTTCTCCAAAATCTTCCACTCTTCCTGGATTTTTTTAGCCCAACTCTTTGGATTCTGCTCATGAAATAGGTAAATATGTAAATACATATAATTAAGAGTAAGACTGAAACAGAGTCTTTAAAAAGAAAAAAGAAAAAAAAAAGAAGCTAACCTGCTTTGTGGAGGAATTATGATTATGATTAATAAAGTGATGATCCGAAGTGTCAATGACAATATCAAATTGCTTAAAACTTCGAAGTTTCCTCATAGTTTCGTTTTCAGTTTCATCGATTAGTGTCAATTGTGGGAGAACAGCAGTTGCTCCATTATGTACATCTCTTGCAGATTTGAGAGCACTAGTGGAACTATCTGGATTAGCACTTCCAGCTCCCTGCTTAGCACTTTCAAATTGCCTCAAATTTGGCGGCTTCATCGCATCTGGATTGTCAGCCAAACCATGCTTCTTTGAACCAAAAAAAGCAGACATCACTTTGCTGCGGATAGATTTCATAAACCGCCGAGAGTTAGATAACTCTACTTCCAATGCATTCTTCTTAGCAGGGACAGGTTTAGAAGACAATTGTGTTCCAGAAGATAGATCAACATTATCCGTTTTGATTTGCAAACTAGAACTACCAATTTTAAAAGGCGCCTCAATTCCCGTTGGTAGATCCACATTATCAAATTGTGCCTGTAACAAGGTATACTCATCTACTTCCTTACACTCATCTGAACTCAAATCAAGGTAGTTATCATTGTCAAATGATGGATGAGAACCACGGCCATCAACATTGATTACAATATGTGATACTGAAGGTTGACGATTAGAAGACTCAATCCCACTAACCGTTCCACTATTTACCGCGCCAGGCTGCCAATAAGTAAAATAAGACAATGACTGCCAACAAAATGAGAGTCATTTAATATCAATCTTTCGCACGAAATAACAGAAAACATGTTATACAAACTGCAACTTGATGATTATCACCATAACCCTCATGAATATTGCAATCAGAAGATTAGGGCTAAACAGATTCTAGTTCTACCAAAGCTCACATGAAGCAATGAAAGGTCATCATGATCGTAAGAATATTAAACAAAGAGATAAAGAAAGTGACTTTTATAGCAGAAACTTGTCATAAAGAAAATTATCTAGCAAACCCAGATGAAGAATTTAAATAAAGATGAAAACTTTGAAGAGGTACAACAAAAAAAACTTAAACTAACAAAAACCTGTTAAGGATTTAGGAAAAAAATAACACAAGTAGATAGATAGATAGAAACCTGTTTCTGTTTTATGAACCTGGGAGGGTGTTGGAACATTGAAGGAGGAATTTCGACAACATCAGGGTCCATGAATCAAAAACCGTAATCAAATGAAACCCTTACGTTTGTGTTTGTGTGTGAAAATAATGAGTAGGAAAAGAGTGAACGTTTTGAGCGGGGTTTTCAATTTTGGGAATAAATATTCTCTTTTGAAGACACACAACAGAAATAGAAAGTCACTATTTTTGGAATAGATTTTTATATATAAAAAACAAGATACATTATTTAACATCAATATACCCTATTGCTAAATGTTCACACTTAAATACCAAAATTAAATTAAATGTTCACACTTATATATGCCTTTTTTTCTTTTCTTTCTGCACAATTACTCTTGCTTTTAATATTAAAATAATGTTAACTCATACAAACATGTTAATCCACTTCATTCTCTCCTTACCGATTAGTGTTGATGTCCACTTCATTTTTGAGTTTTTTTTTTTAACTTTCTCTCTCACTGTTTAAAGTTTAATCAAAAAGTTTTTTAATCAACATTCACTCCTCGTTTTGTATTTTATCTTTTATGAATTGTTATCAATCAACTTTCAATTTTTCAACATTGTTCGGTAATTTTCTCATTCATTCGTGTTTTTTCTGCATTTGATGCATGCAATGCAATTCCTTAAATAATTCTAATTAAAATCGGTTAGATTACATCTAAGACCACCTTCAACGATAGTTTTTCAGATTGATTTGCCAGCTTGGGATTGAAATTGTCAACAAAAAAGTTGTTCCAACTGGTGAACGGTACAAATATAAGCAACGGTTCTTCATATTTTTTTATTATTAAAATAATCAATTAAAATTGTGGGACCCAATATAAAATTTAGTATGAATAAAATATTAATATACAAAGTAAAATTGTGGGATCCAATATAAATTCTTTAAAATTGCATCATTGGAGTGAAAAATAGAGTGGGTTGCTTCAAGATGATGTGGCTTAATGGACTCCACAAAGAACCCAAATATGAGTAGCACCATTGGAGATGCTCTAATAGAAAATACATAAGCTACATTAGATTTCTTCGTTTGAATCATTATGCATTGAAAGTTGTAGGGTGACTGCTGAGTTTTCTCACTTATACGAGAAATTTCAGATTTCAAAATATGTATTCACCTCTATAAAAAGTCATATTTCATAATTTAAACTCTAATATGGATTACAAAACAAAATTTTATGGTTGTTATTCTTTTTGTTATTTTGTTTGTGTTTGCTAATGATATGTTTTGTCTTGTGTGATTATGAAAAATTAGTGGACAAGCAACCAAGGTACAAACATGGTGGGTTTACTCAATATGCTTCGTACGTAAGGGGAAGCGTAATCAATGTGAGTTGTCAGAGAATTATCTTAGAATTATGAGGGATCATCTTCTGGTGGTCATGTATCTTTGGCTCATGACGAAGCATCCAATGTTCCATTTCAAACTCTTGATGATGATGTACATGCGCATGACTCACATCCTGAAGTCAATTACCATTATCGCACCAAGTAGTTTTCTTGGAAATTCGAATGACATGTCACTGCTTCCACTTTATGCACATCATATTGATAGGCATGTGTGAGAAAAAGGGTAGCATAAATATTTAATTACTCTTTTAAATATTTGTTTATACAAATTGTATTGTCTACTCTTTTTTTTTCCAGTATCATGACACATTAAAGTGTATATATCATGTTAGGAAGAAGGCAATGTTGACCCAACCAAATAAACCTTGGTTTCAGGATGTATTCAAGGTATATGATATGAAGGACTTTTGTAGAATATGATATGGTTATAATGACCATGGTCTTTTATTCGCATTTGTTGAGAGGTGGCATATAGAAACATTATCATTTCATCTTTTCATTGATGATGTATCGTATCTCCTTCATCTTCCGATCTCAAAAATATTGTTGGATCACTCTACCATTCATATATCTAAGGCACTTGTAACACCCCAATTCTACCCCAAGAAAATTATGTAAAATAAATCAGAGTTATAAAATTCAATCATGCAAACGAACCAGGGCGTCACAAATTCTTCTAACAAATTCATTGCATTCATCATGGATATATAACATTTTTTCAAAACATCGGATGAACCATCAACATGACATCTTTCATTAAATAATTCAACAACTACGCAGCGGAATTCTTCAATAACATCTCTAAATAAAACAGCAACTTCGAAACATCTCATATTTAATAATAATCAATTCAAAACTCAGTAACTGAAAATCAACAATCAAAAATCAGCAAGCGTTTATCCTCTCGAGTGTTACATATCAGAGCAATGACACCGACTCGAACTATTGAAGGTATACAGCCTTCACTCTCGATTACCTGCACGTTACCAACATAAGAGCAACATTCAAACAAAAGGGGTGAGATATCTAACAATATAATAAAGCGCGTGATAATTAATATATTAAGTTAGATTAAAAACGTCACCACTTCTCATCTCATAATCAACAATAATTACAACATATATACTCATTCATCAACATCAAATACACTTCATTATTCAATCATATAATGCGACTCAACACTATGCAAATGCATGTGCTACCATTGGAGCAGAACTCCCATCTCAAAAATCTGTCAATTAATAGAGGCATCAACAAGGCATAGCCTTCATCTCAAAATTTGCCAATCCAGACCATCTCAACGAGCATAAGCTCCATCTCAAAAATGTAATGTATGTGACTCATCATGAATGTAATAACAACATCCAAGTTAACAACATTTCAAATCATCTCAATTAACATCTCGAAATAACAACATCTCAATCATCTCAAAACAACAACATCTCAAAACATCTCAATTAACAACATCTCATAACATCAAAAAAATTTATTAAACATCATTTATTATCACAAAATCATCGAACACAACTTCATCAATAACATATCACTAATACTCAACTGTATATTAATAGTACAGTAATCCATCATGTTATTCTGCTAATTTATATTGTTACTATCACTAATCCTACTGTCATAATTCCAACACCAGCCTCTAAACATATACTATTCATCATTCTATCCAAAAATCAGCACAACGGTCATCTACGGGAATCAATTCTAAATCCTGCATTATCTGCTAGGATTACACTTCTCATTCTTCATTTAATCATCTAGAATAAAGTTCTTCGCGTTAGTTAATCAACGCTTCGAACGGCATCTCAAACAACATCCTAAAACTCAAGTTACAGCAATTAAAAGTTGATTCTGTCAAAAACCAGACATTATGTATCGACATAAAACCTTATGGATTGACTCATTCTGCTTCATCTATACACTATGAGTCGACACATCCTCCTTATGGATTGACTTATCCTGGCTTTAAATCACAGCATGTATCGACACGTGCATCTCACCGGTCGACTCATCCTGAGTCTTGCAACTACCATGCATCGACGCATCCCCTCTTCGTGTCGACTTATCCTGAGTCTTACAGCCTTCATGTATCGACTCATTCAGTTTGGGTTCGACACATCTTGCTACAGTCTGCATAATTTCTGCGTTTTCTTCTGTAATTTCACTACGAGAATTATGTTACAGTCCTACAAACCTCATTATAAACATGATATTTCATCTCCTAACATTATCCTCTATTACCAAATCGATCAAACAATATAATAACATCATTATTCATCAGGAATTCATCAACCTTCGTCATACATCATTCATAATACATCAAATTCAAGAACAAAACAGCAATCCTCCAACCCCACATATCAAACATCATGAACCCAATTATAAAGTCAGAACTCCACCCTTACCTTGGATTGAAGGTCGCTCTATAATTTCCGGGTTGAATCTTCGTTCTTGTTGTTTTCCACTTTTTCCAGCAGCTTCACGTTCTCTTCCAAATCCTTATTTTCTCCTATTGCTTCTTTCTTCTCTACCTTCTCACAAATAATAAAATAACCTAATATTCTATTATTCCTTATTTCTTATTGGGCTCAAAATCTACACCCCCTTATTACTTCTACTCTCTCAAACTAGGCCCACATTAAATAATATTACACTTCTAATATTATTTCACCATATAATATTATATCTCTAATATTATTTCTCCACTTAATAAAATAAATCCAATTAATTATAACACAACTTCACAAATATTCCAAAAATAATTTAATTAAATAATTAATTAAATTACGGGCGTTACAACTCTCCCCCACTTAGAATATTTTCGTCCTCGAAAATTTACCTCAATCAAACAATTTAGGATAGGAGTCTCGCATCTTGCCCTCCAACTCCCAAGTCATGCTTTCTCCTGCAGCTCCTAACCAAACCACTTTAGCCAAGGCAATCTCTTTGCTCCTCAGAGTCTTCATTTCACGATCCGCGATCCGTACAGGCATCGTCTCCACCGTAAGATTATCCCGTACTTGCACATCGTCCATATGAATCACATGAGATGGATCTGAAATATACTTCCAAAGTTGCGACACATGAAACACATCATGCAAATTCGAAAGGTTAGGCGGTAAAGTCACTCTATAAGCAACATTCCCTACTCTCTCTCTGAAATCTGATACGGTCCGATAAAACGATAAGTGAGCTTCTTAGACTTCAATGCTCGCCCAACACCAGTCACAGGCGTAACTCTCAAAATCACATGATCATCATCTTGGAATTCTAAATCCTTCCTTCGCTTGTCATGATAACTCTTCTGTCTACTTTGTGAAGCTTTCATCTTTTCTCGAATCAACTTCACCTTCTCAGTATTCTCACGAACAAGTTCAAGTCCAAGTACTACACTTTCACCAGATTCATGCCAACATAACAGAGTTCTACATCTTCGACCATACAACGCTTCAAAAGGTGTCATTCCAATACTATATGGTAACTGTTATTATAAGTGAACTCTATCAACGGAAGATAAGTATCCCACGAACCTCCCTGCTCAAGAACACATGCCCTCAGCAAATCTTCCAACGATTGAATTGTCCGTTCAGTCTGACCATCTGTCTGAGGATGATACGTTGAACTCAATCTCAGCTTAGAACCCAACGCTTCTTGCAAACTCTTCCAAAA